GAATGTGTGCTCCATGTGCCTAGCATTTCAGGGCTATGTGTAGAAAGCATTTGAAAGGTCCATAGTGAATGACTAGCTAGGTATGGCTACGCCTGTCTAGTCAGGGATGAGGAAACTGAGGTACAGGGGTGTTACTAGGAGAGGGGGCAGGTCCTCCATGCTTTGTGATGTCTTTTTACCCTTTTCTCTGTCTCAACATAATCAATGAAGTTTGGTGAGGTAGAGTTAAAGCCCACTTTCTATGAGTGTCATACATGTATATGTAAGTGTAATACAGAAGCAGAGGCACACAGATCTAGACATGACTCATACACCTCGTGTCTTCTGCCATCTCATGACTGGTTCATTGAGAGAGGCAGTATATGTTATGCATATATTACCCATTTTTACCCACCGTGATGTTACCCATTATAGCAAGTAACACCAATACGCTGTTGATCCCATGTGACGGAGCTGTTCCCTGGGCTCTTCATCTCACCTCAAACATTCATTTCCCCAAACCAGTCAAGACAGCTTTGAGGAAAGGCCAGACCTGACTCCTGTTCCCCTGTTCCCTTTCATCAAAATCCAAGAGCTATTGAAAGACAGGTCAGCTCAGAGCCAGCTGAATCCAAAGCTTCCAACATGGCGGAGTCTAGAACCCCCTAGCCATCTTCCATATCTCCAGTCTTCAGTAGAGGTGAGTGGTGTGGTGCATTGTGGGAGTTCTTTCTTGACTCCCTCCATGGCATGCTTTGAGATTTCTTGTAGCAAATCCAGAAGAGGTGTGCTATTTTGTTTAAGATAAGATCCATTCAAAGTCATTAAGTTATTATGGTGTCTAATATATGTGGCATGAGGCCCATGTGTGCCCTTGACCTCCCAGTCACTTAGAGTTAAAATGACTGTGTGCTTAATGCTGCACATTTCCGTTAAATATAACATTGCCAGAAATAATACATGCCCTGGAACACAAACCTAAAATAACATGGAATTTTCAGTCAGGTAATCTTTAATTTAAACTAAAAATAACCTAAACAGTAGTTTATAGAAACCTCAAGGAACAGGACACCCGCCCACTGCCAGTTCATCTAACTGTAGGACACTTACTTAGCATTTGAACCTTTCAAACCAGATGAAGCGTGAGCTATATTAGACATGAGCCCCAGAAAGCCAAGAATCCCACTCTTGGCTGGCCCTGCTGACTCGAACATTCCTTTGGGAAGGCCACTGCTAAGGGCCAGCAGAGGGAAATGCTCACAACAAGTGGCCTGCTGTTGGAGAGAGATGCTGTGGGGAGCATGGCCCCTTTGGGGTCACGTACCAGATATTTACATTTCAATTCATAACAATAGCAAAATTACAGTTATGAAGTAGCAACAAAAAAATAATTTTGTGGAGCCGGGCGGTGGTGGCGCACGCCTTTAATCCCAGCACTTGGGAAGCAGAGGCAGGTGGATCTTTGTGAGTTCGAGGCCAGCCTGGTCTACAGAGTGAGATCCAGGAAAGGCGCAAAGCTACACAGAAAAACCCTGTCTCGAAAAACCAAAAAAAAAAAAAAAAAAAATATATGGTTGGGGGCGTCACCAAAACACAAGGAACTGTATTAAAGGGTGGCATTATCAGGAAGGTTGGGAACCACTGTGGTACATGAAATGAGCCAGTCACAGAAGGAAAGTACTGGATAGTTCACTTATGATTTAAGAGTGGGACAGTGGTGATCAGTGCGGAGGGTCAAGCCACGCCCTTTGGTGATGCAAGGCGAGTAAGGTCTGAGAGCTGCTGCGTAGCCCATAAATGGAGTTAGCACTACTAGATTAAACTAAATAATGTTAAAAATCTCTTGCCACAACAACAAAAAGCTTAGAAAACATAAACCTCAGGGCTAAGGATGTGGCTCCATAGTACAATGTTTGCCTACCATGTACAAGGTCCTGGGCGCAACCACAAGATAAAATTGTTTGAAGTCGCTGATTTTAGGCAGAGTGCGGTGGTACACACCTTTAATCCCGGCACTTGAGACACAGAGGTGGGTGGATCTCTGTGAGTTCAAGGTCAGAACTGATCTATATAGTGAGTTCTAGGCTAGCGAGTGCTATAAAGTAAGACTTGTGTCTCAAAAACATAAAAAGATTGCCTCAAAAAGAAGTAAGCCTATTATGTGAAACTTTATTTGAAAGTTGATTTCCCATATATTGACATATAAATAAACTTTTCCTTTTGCCCACCAAAAAGAAAAGAATTATTTAAAAAAGAAAAGAAAATAGAACAGTTGCATTGAGAGAAAGAGAGAACTTGCTTTATACATCCAAATGACTGTAGTAGTATATCTAAATTGCCTCATTGGACCAAATTACTCAAGGTCTTCCTTTGACCCTTAACGTTTGGGAGAGTGATGCCCACCCGGGAAGAGTAGGTGGTAATTATCCAAGCAGAGATGGTTCTCATCCTGTGAGCTGTCTGCCTCGCTATTGAAATAATTTCACACCTGTCACAAAGATGAGGTGTCTTCTATTTGGGGCACATTGTGCAGCATCAAACAGATAATCTATTTGGTAAATATTTATCTGAGCTTGCTGGAGGCCAGTCCTGCTGAGAAGCTGTGTGGAGGGCTGGGTCAGGTGGAAGAAGGAGAACCCCCATGAGCGGCTCCAGAGCTCTGTGAAGAGCACTGCTGTGAGGGACAGAAGCTGACGCAGCAGCAGGAGAAAGAGGTGCTGGCTCTTCGGTCCAATACAAGCTGGCCGGCTGACCAGTTAACTGGAAAACTGGTCCAGGTGGAGAAACATCAAAGTATTATACTTAGGTGCTTTAAACAACTTAACGTCAGCTTTATAAACATATAGACTGTGTTATAGTTTAACAACTGTTTCAATATATCATAAACAGTTCTTGTTTATTTGTTTTTTTTTTTTCCAGTTTTATGATTGAGAGGCAAGTCTTTCTGCTAAGGGCATCTGCCCACTGGGACATTATCAACTTCCTTCCTGCTAGCATACTCCTAATGCAAGTGGGAACCCAGTTTCCTCCCCTTCTTTTCATCCTGAGGTGGTTTGAAAGAAAATGACCCCCAAAGGGAGTGGCTCTATTAGGAGGTGTGGCCTTGTTGGAGTGGGTGTGGTCTTGTTGGAGGAAGTGCATCACTGTGGGGGCGGGCTTTGAGGGCTCATATATGCTCAAGCCACACCCAGTGAGACAGACCAACCACTTCCTGTTGCTTGCAGGATATAGAACTCCCACCTAATTCTCCAGCACTATGTCTGCTCCAGCACCATGTCTGCCTGCACACCACCATGTCCCACCATGATAATAATGGATTGAACCTCTGAAGTGTAAGCGATCCCCAAGGAAATGTTTTCCTTTAGAAGAGGTGCCGTGGTCATGGTGTCTCTTCACAGTGATAGAAGCCCTAAGACATATCCTTTCCTTGTTCTTTCCTCCCTGCCGCCTCATTGAACCTAAGGACTTGCGTGTGCTAAGCCAGGGTTCTACCACCAAGTTACTGCTGCAGTCACTCCAATCTCTTTAGTATACACATTTCTATATGTAGCAGGAAGGTAAAGCCTCCCATGAAGCAGTCTGGGACCAGATGTGTATGATTTATTCTTCATCTTTTACTGTTCTGCCCATAGATCATGGTAGCCATGTATTTTAGTTAATAGCCACATTAGTTTTCATGGAAACAACTTTGCCTTCGCCTGCATATTTCATTGCTTAATACACCATGAAGTCATGAAGTCCCATGTATGAGGTAATGGGTATCACTGGCATGTGAAGGTTGGAGAATACAGTTAACTATCCTCAACTGGTAGAAACAGATGGATAAGGCATACTAGCCCAAGACTCAGGATGCCTGAGCACCAGGCAGTGTGTTCTCCAGAGGATATGGCTTTGGCTGGGATCGGGCCAAGACAGCATCCACACAGGCAAATGTGTAGAGGTGCCTAATGGGATGCAGAAAGCATAGTGTGATCTGCTGGGGAGACCTCAGCATGAAAGAGCAAACGGGGATATCAAGAGGAGGTAAAAGATGTTCGAGGAAAGTAGGGAACTGGGGCTCAGGGAAAGCATTGGGAACCCCTGCTTGTCATGATCTCCTCTCCCAGGCTGTGGTGACCTGAGTTAGGGATGACAACTTTTGTCCATTCCATCTCCTTCTGGCACTTGAGAAACATCCAATATTTTTGAATGAATCAAAATGCGTGGTTCTGTTTTTTCACTGTAATTACTACCAACACCCCCCCCAAAACAAAACAAAAAAAAACAACAACAAAACGGTTTCCTCAAGTACACTGGGTTTCTCTCCTGGAAATCATTGTCCGCAAGCTGTGGGCAAGCCAAGCTTGTGTGCTCTGCACCTTAGCTCACCCCACTGTAGGCATATGGGTAAACTAAGGTCGCCGTTCAGGTCAGTGGCTGGTCAGACTCCCATCTAGCGGTGCCTCGAAGTGTTCCTCAGGTACAGTTGGAAGGTGGCAGGACTATAGTACCTGATGGTACCCAGGGAACACGGGCTGATGAGGCACGGGGGTCGTTCTGGGTCTTCTCGTGTTTCTTGTGAATGGGGAAGGTTTTTTTAGTAAACGAGCGAAAACATGGAGAGAGCTGAAAGATAGCAAACACAGTCTTCAGTAACTCAGCCTCCGGAGTTTTCCACTGGCTCTCAGCAGAGTGTGGCTCAGCAACAGAATGATATTTAGTGTGAGATATCCGGTCATCTCATCAGAAGATGAGGCTTGATTAACTATCTTGGATTTTATTAACTGTCATACTTGTCATTAATTATCACAAATAAGAATTCATTCATTCGCTCATCATTAATTCTTTTTGCTCAGTCTTCAGACATTCTGTAATCAAACCACGTCAGTTTCTGTATAAACTGACTGTGATCTGTAGTGTGAGAACATTATCACCCTACATCACTCTCTTGTACTTTAAACTTGATTAAACTTGACCCAGGACCTAGAAATGAGACACATGGGGCATCGCATCCCACACTCTTTCTCTTTCTCTCTGAACAGCCTGGGAATGAACCACGACGATGACCACTCATCTTGTGCCGGCCGTTCGCACATCATGTCAGGAGAGTGGGTGAAAGGCCGGAACCCTAGCGACCTCTCTTGGTCATCCTGTAGTCGAGATGACCTCGAGAACTTTCTCAAGTAAGTCCTTGAATCGTTCTGTAACATCAACAACAGGAAGTTTTTCCAAAAGACCAAAGATGGGCGTCACCTTAGCAAGTATGAGACGCGAATCCTTAGATGAATCCTCAACTGGCTTGGGAGATGGTCAGGGCAGAGTGTCCTGTAATGGGCAAAGGCCTCTTCCTGAGGTTGTAGCTGGTATGATGTCGCATGTCCAGTAGGGGATCATTAAATGATTGGTTGAATGAAATATCAACCTGGTGCCTCTGTCTTGCACTTCCCCACCGGTCTGTGACCACGAGTGGACACCATGGTAGGGACAACTTAGCTGCTGGAGAACTGAGAACCTGCTACTTGCTGAAGCTGCTTCCCTTGGAGGGAGTGGATTAGCTGGGGGTGGGTTTGCACACTTCCCTCCTTTATGGGGGAAGGGATGTGCTTCTCACTAGCTCGGTCTCCCTAGAGAATGTCTACACTGTTCTCTGATTTCTGTGGAACAGTTTGGTTTTAGACCCTTGTTAAAGTAAGTATATCCAGCCGGACGGCAGTGGTGCACGCCTTTAATCCCAGTACTTGGGAGGCAGAGCCAGGTGGATCTCTGTGAGTTCGAGGCCAGCCTGGGCTACAGAGTGAGATCCAGGACAGGCACCAAAACTACACAGAGAAACACTGTCTCAAACACCCCCCCCCCCCCCCCCCGCAAAAAAAGGTAAGCACATCCAAGGTCGCTGTTGACCCGTTGGTGTCTGATCTTAGGGCTGTATTTACAGTGTTGATTTATGGGTCCTGATTGCTTCTCTACTTTGTTGTGTTAATCCACATGAAGTGGAAGCAGAAATGAATCAGTGAGTCTCACTGGCGGGTTGAGTTTGACAGACCAGCTCTCTTTGACAGGACCCGGGGAATGTGGGTTGAAGTAGTTAAAGGATTTTCTTCATGTTTCCTACGGGTGGAAAAAGTGTTCAGTACATAGGCTTAGAAATGAACTTACTGGTTTTAAGATAGTCTACTTCCACTGATTGTAATCACAGACTCCTAATAAAATGTTGTGAGCCACTGATGTTACTCCCTATGACCCAGAAGGGTCAGAGTGACAAGACGGGATGTTGTACATTTGTTCAGGTGCACAGTGCTGGTCCCATTAGTAACAAATGGCTGTGACTGAGCCTGGGATCTGTGGACTAGCCTCAGCTCTGTGTGTGTGTGTGTGTGTGTGTGTGTGTGTGTGTGTGTGTGTGTGTGTGTGCATGCATTAAATCCTTTCTTCAATGGTTTGGGAAGTGTCTGGTTTCATCTGCCTTGCTTTAAGGATAGGAAATAAAATCATTGAGCATTTTATCTCCTAACAGAGGCCTGTTCAAGAAATGTATCTCCCATTGTAAATGAACATTTCCTTCCCAGTTGAAACCCGGCAGTTCTTGTCAGAGTGAGTCCCTGACTTGCCTTCTGCGATAGCAGGAGATTTATTTGACCAAGTGAGACATCAAGACTGGCGTACTTGCTTTAGCCCAGTAGTCCCTCAAAGAGACTCCATGGTGTCAGAAATCAGAACTTTGAGTTTATTTAAAATAAAACAACCTTAACTTGTGTTATTTTTTTGTTTATGGCAACTTTTTCTCAAAGCCATATTCTAATTTAAAAAGAAATTGTCATCAAATGCCCCTAAGAAAGCTTACTTGCTTCATCAGAGCAGTATCTATGGCCCCACCAAGCGGTCAGTTCTGCATTGTCTTCAGAGCAGAGACCCACATTTCACCATATAATAAAAGAACACACACACACACACACACACACACACACACACACACACACCCCAAAAGGGTAACCCGGGTGTCCAGTGCCAAGGCCCTTGTCCCTTGAATCATCCAAGGCACATCCTTCTCGGAGACTGAAAACCTAGAATAAAGATGAGCTACTACATTTGGAGACTGATCTGCTTCTTGGCTTTTTCAGATCCAAAGTCAGTACCTGTTTACTGATCACTGACCCCAGGAGTCAGCACGCCCTACGTCTTCCATACAAGCTGCCAGGCATGCACTACAGTGCCAATGAGCAGTGCCAGATCCTGTTCGGCACCAATGCTACCTTCTGCAGAAACATGGAGGTAAGCAGTCAGGGAAGGGCAGATGTAGGAAGACACACAGCCCAGCAGCCCCGCTGCAGGTCTGGATTCTGCTGAATGTCATGGGTATCTCAGACATAGACATGAGTGTGACCGTGTATATGCATAGGCATGAGGGTGTGTGCATGTGCACACATCCTCACAGGTACTTGCATAGGTGTGCCCCATATAACCAACTGTGAAAGTGCCAGCACATGCTTTTCCAAGCATCTATCCATTCACAGCCCTGCACATGGGTCACTCTGAAGGAGATACTTTGGGGATACTCACACTAGTAGCCTGGTGTTTTTGCATGAAATCTTTAGGACAAAGGAAATCTAGTCACACTTCTGAGACATGGTGTGATGTCGCCTGATATCAAACTCTGCCTAGTTAAGGAAGCAAGCTAAAAACTGGTTCACACTGGAGGTTATCAGATGGAGAGAATTTAATAAGTGACACGTTGATTTTATAATAATAATAATGTACAAACAGCACTTATTGATCAGCACCCATTTGATTGATCCTAAAGCCCTAGCCTGCATGAGCTCCATTAGTCCTCACCAGAACTCTCTAGAATCTACCTCCTGGTTGTAGACAATACTACCAAATCAAACTCCGTTATTATGCCAATGGTTTGATTATGGCATAGGTAACAGTGCAAGGACTTGGAGCCAAATCTGGTCACCCCCACCGTGCAGATTTGCTCAGTATACTGCAAACAGTGAGGCCTAGGGCTCGGCCAATTCTGTGTATGGAAAGTGCCAAGAGGACTGTGCTAGGACCTGTGACAGGACATTTGCCATGTGTATGGCTACCTGTGGGAGAGACAGGAGTGGCCCCGACACCAGAAGCATACTAGAGAAGCAGGTGGTCCAGGTGGTGCTTGGCAGTGAGGCTTGGCTTGAGTAGCAGGTGTATCGCATGGGACAGAAACAGACGTGGCTAGGGGCATATGAAGCTCAGGAGCCCCCACAATGCAGTCTGGGATATTTGTTGAAGGCCTGGGCTCAAGATAGCATGTAGTCCCAAGGAAGATACACAATAGACTGGCCAGTCTCCAGATATAGGAACTCAGCAGGCCCAACCCCAAAGCTAACAGCTACATAGAGGCTACCTCCAGAATGAAGTCCCCAGGGATGGGGCTGGGGAGGGGAGGGGACTCTCAGACACCAGAGATGCTATGATTCCTCTTGGCTGCTCCATGTTTAAATGTGAATTGGTTCGGGACATTGAGCCAACATCTCTCGGCTGGGTGCTGCCTACCGTTTTAGGGGCACAGAAAACATCACCTCAGAGCCAGGCTAATGCTGGCTATGAGCTGGCTCTTCCAAGAGCATCTACCGAAATGTGGTCCTGAATCCTCTCTCCAACAAAGGCCCCTCCATGCCTGACTGATGTGATCAGTCCCAGGACTCCATTGTCCCCAGCTCCTCATGGTACCTGATGCTCACCATCAGCCACTTCATGGATTCATGCTTAAGGCTGTTGTTACTGTAGCCAAGTGCCTATGGCCAGCCTCCAGTTACTAGAGTGAATTGGAGAGTAAAGAGAGAGCAGGTTTCTAGAGACCCTTGATGAAGACAGTGTAACTTCAGTATGAAGAACACATAGGTAGGTCCTGGGGAGAATGCTGGAGTCTCAGGAGGAACAGAATGGTTCCAGGCCCCTGGAGTGGAGAAGGAGAAAGTGTCCAGCAAAGACCTGGACACGGTGATCACTTTGTCTCCTGAGGGGTTTGCCCCAGGGCTAGTGGGGCAAAGTGGTCAGGCAAAGCTGCCCAGCCAATGTAGGATTGGGTGAGTTGGGGACTAGACAAACGCCATCTCCCCATTTCCCGCCATTCCTGTCCAGGGGTGAGGTAATTGCACAGCTGTCTTTGCGAGGGTTTCTATTTCTGTGAAGAGACACCATGACCACAGCAACTCTTAGAAAGGACTACATTTAATTGGGGTGGCTTACAGTTTCAGAGGTCTAGTCCTTTCTCATCATGGTGGGAAGCAAGGCAGTGTACAACAGGAAGTGAACCAAGTCCCACACTGGGCATAGTTTGAGCATAGGGACCTCAAAGCCTACCCACACTGCGTCATACTTCCTCTAACAAGGCCACACCTCCTAATAGTGACACTCCCTACGGGCCAATCATTCAAACACATGAGTCTGTGGAGGCCATTCCAATTCAAACGACTACACAGGATAAGGTGACATGGAAGGACACTCATGTTTGGGGATTCACAGTTTTCCAGGTTGGATGCTTTCCTGGGACTGTCACATGCAGCCCTGACTGCTACACTCCAGGCAGAAGCTTTTGAACTCAACTTTAGCAGGTGAGGAAACAGAGCAGGAAGAGAAGCATAGACGCCCCCTACTGGGAGAGCCAGGAAGGCTGGCTAGTTTGAAGATAGACCCCAGGAGACAAGCCACATGGGATTCTCTCAGCTCATTAGCATCCTTCTTTCAGAGGACAGTTAGAAAGATTAGCCCTGCATCACAGCTACCTTCCAGAGAGGGTTCTCAACCTTCCTCATGCTGTGACCCTTTAATACAGTTCTTCATGTTGTGCTGACCCCAACCATAAAATCATTTTGTTGCTACTTCATAGCTGGAATTTTGCTACTGTTATGAATCATAATGTAAGTATCTGATAAGCAGGATATCTGATATGTGATCCCCAAAGGGGTTGTGACCCACAGGTTGAGAACCATTGACCTAGAAGCTGAAACTCCCCACGAACACCCTGAAGATGGCCCATTTGTAAGTTCTGTTGAGACACCACATGGATTCCTCCAGCTAGTCAGCAGCTGCGTCTCGTGTTCAGTGAAAGCATTTTCCTTAACAGAGTCATCATTAATAGATCAAAACAAATCAACATCTTCTAGCCCCAGTCTCTAGACGAAGTGACTATATGTGAGTAGAGGGAAAGGGTAGCCTAGAGGCAGACACTTGGGTGGTTGCTAGCCATAGCTTGCCCTGGTCATCATCCCCTCTGGTGATTTAGTGATTTTTTTTTTTAGGGGATTCTAGAAGTGAGCTGACAGTGAGTGTTTACACCATACAACATGTCCCAGTAACACTCCTACACTTCAGGGAACGCATGGCAGAATGCCTCTCTGGGATACCTGGAATGCTGGGAACTTGGGGCATGGTGCCCTAGCCCTGGCTACATCCCTCTCGTCAGATGCACACCGGAACAGCCTCATGACCAGACTCTAGCTCACCATGTCCTTAGTCTGCCTCTCCCTGCTTCAGGGTCTGTGCTCTGGCGACACCCAGTCGTGCGGAAGTCTGCGTCCATGTCTGCCCTTGGTCCTTCCTGGAGCATAAGCTCAGGGCTGCTGGGTGCTCTCTCACTGCTCTCTCTCCCCACCCCATTCTCTAGGCCCAGGTCACCTCCTCTATTCTGGCCTGGCCTTCCTGCTCTCTCTGAAGCCCACCAGAAGGCTCATGGCAAAAACACAGCCAGCTTCTCGGGGCTCCTCCCTCTACCTGGCAGCCGCTGTCTCGGTGATCCGAATGGCTCAGTCTTTCATTTTTGAGTTTTCACATGCTACCTTCTCCATGAGGCCGGCCCCGCCACCCTGTGGAGATTATAGTCTCGACGCCTTTCCTGACCCCCTCAAGAAAAGCCCTGTTTCCATATGCTTACTGCTTTTTAACTGGCTGCTCCCTCTCCCAGCTGCAGTAATTAAAGACAAAACATGAAATGGTGAGCTTTCAGGACATTGGCCGTCAAAAAGCCAAGGCCTTCAATGACTGAGAGATCTGAAGGAGGTGGAGGAGCCCCATGGTTCTGCTCACCTGTGGCCTGGACCGCCCTCAGTCTGCAGCACATAGAAGGAGAACCCGAGAGGGCTGCAGTGGTTCCGTAGGAGACCAGCCTTCTAAGAGTGTGCGAAACTCACTGTGACAAAATGCCCCCACAGAAACAAGCTGTGGGAGAAGCATCCATTTGTGATAGCGGGAACATGAGGCAGTAGCTCTTCACGTACTGGTGGATCAGGAAGCAAAATTGTTGAGTTATATATCAGAGGTGGGTGTAACCTTCAAGATCCTCCTGTAACAATTTACTTTTGCTATATATCCCAGAAGTTCCACAACTTCCCAGAGCAAGGCTACCATCTGTGGACCAGGTGTTTGAACCACAACAGATACACAAAGAACCTTAGAGACCTACAGAGGGTCACCCTTGACTACTCAGCTTAGTGTAAAAACACTGCCCAAGGCAAGGCAATTAGCTGTCCTCAAGAGTTGGAGGGAGAATCTCAGGAGCTCTTGTGGGCATCAGGTAGATGACACAGGGTTCTGTTTCAGAAACGGTGCTATATCAGCCTTCCACTAAAATGCTGTTCTAGTCCCGCACTATAAGTTTGATCTGATCTCAGATCAAACTTGTGATTAATTTATGTGACTGGGCAGATGACTCAGTTGGTGAGTTGCTTGACCTGCAAGCCCGAGGATCTGCATTTGGATCCCCATTACACACATAAAAGCCAGGTGTGGCAGCGTGTGTCTGTAACCCCAGTGCTGGGGAGTGGGGAAGGGCACAGAGACAGGCTTATCTCTGGATTTTGCACATGTGCACACATGATATATACATACATCACACACAATTTTTAAAATTTAAGATTTACCAAATTTTAGAACAAAATTCAGGTAATAGATATACAGAACTGCTTATTACTCGAAAGCTACAACTACCATGTCCACTATCAACTAAAAAAAAACCTGACAGACATGCAAAGCAGGAAAATGCCTCCATCTTGAGGGAGAGTCAATAAAAACTGACCTAGAAATGACACAAATAGTATAGTTACCCATGTCAAGGACATCAGAACAACAATTATAATAATAGGACATATTAAACACACACAGGGATTATGGGAATGGTGTCTACCTGGAACTTCTGGAATAGAACCCTGCAAAGTCTTAGATGAAGGATCTCCTGGACAAGATTAATAGCAAATTAGACATTATAGAAGAGGGAGTTAGTAAGTTTGAACACA